TACCTCTCTCTCTCTCTCTCTCACTGCGCTACTCCCTACCCGCCTCCTCTCTCTCTCTCTCTCTCTCTCTCTCTCTCTCTTTCTCTCTCTTGCCCTGAACAATTCGGTTGATTCAAGGCTCCCTGGATCTCAGCCCTCATTCTCTCTCTTCCTCCTCCCCAAAACCCATAGCTTGACCCCTCCTTGCCAAGAAAATCCGTCCTCTCTCCCCTCCCACTAAACTCCCAGTTAAAAAGTCACCAAGCAGGCTTCGTTGTCCCCTTAACTGTGGGCTCCCCTCCTCAAAATGTCAAAATTAGCTAATCACCCCACCTTCCATCCATTGAAATCCTCCTCTTCCTCCCCTGTTCTTTGCAACTCTGAAACCTGCAAAAACAAAACCAGAGACTTTCCTGTACCCACCACCTGTGATAAAAAGAAGATTTGCCATTTTGCTTGGGCCTATGACGATGCATCAACAAGCGAAGGAAACTTGGCTTTTGAGAACACTTCTTTAGGGGATTCAACCCAATACTCCATTGTTCTAGGCAGCATTTTCTCGGGCTTTAGCAGCCCCACAAATGCCCCAATAACCACTAGCATGATGGGCTTAACAGTGGGGCTCTTTCCTTGTTTCTCCACTGGGATTTCCAAAATTCTCTTACTGCTTCTCTGATTCAACTTCTTCTGGCCTTTTGCTCTTCGGTGAAACCACTTTTACAGTGATAAAGCCATTAAACTACACACCTCTTGGTCAAATCCCCTTTCTATTGCCCTGTTTCAACAGAGTTACTTATTCGATTCGACTCGAAGGAATTAGGGTTTCCGGAAAGCTTCTTCAAACCTCTACGGAGTACATGGTTTGGAAGTGCATAGGGGAGATCCGCATTGATTGGCTGACCAAACTATTCAACAAAGTGTTGAGAACAAAGAAAATACCAAATGAATGGAGGAAAAGTATTGTAGTACTTATTTATAAGAACAAAAGAGACATAGAATTGTGCAAACTATCGAGAGATCAAACTTTTTTGTTTTTGTGAAAAGTAATGCACCCCTCTGTTTCTAGCTTCATGTGTGAGCATGTGAGAGAAGAAGGAACTCAAACTTGTCAAAGATCAAGGGAAAAGCCCTCAACAAAAGAACAAGTCACTATTCTGGAGCACCATTTTTTCTTTGCACGAAGATCTTCGCCTTCACCAAAATTCTCAAAGATGTAAGCTATACAAAAAGAAAAATTAAGTGACTCTCGCGGGGAGCGTCACTGTCTATTTGCAAGAAGGAGACCGCATTTGTCTGCACCCCAGGGACATCATCTATCTTGATCTCCCCCAAAACTCTCAAACTCTCTCTCCCTCTCTGTCTTCTTGCGATTGAGTGGTGTATGTAAAACGATGAGCTAGACATTACAGCAAGAGAGACACAAAGCCAGCTGTTCTCTTGAAATATAGGAATGTATGGGACAGTGAATACGTTAGGAGAACGGAATTATTCTAGTACACTGCCACCAAGCCATCTTATGATTCTATTGTAGTTCACTTGCTATACAACACAATCACAAATTCATACTTTGGTGCTTCCTTGATTTGTGGGAATTCATAAATCAAAATCCTCTATTGATTAGGCAATAAGATTACTGTACATAACTAGTAAGTGAAAGTCAAACTATCATCAGCTGGGGAGCAGCTGACACTTAAACAAGTATAAAAGTAATCGACGATTTTATATTATGTCTGCTCCAGTAGTCTCCCTTACATATGTGAAGGTATGGAATGTAGGTCAATGAACTTCCTCAGGACAAACTCAATGGACAAGATAAAGACTCAGTGGTTGTCTAGGGAATTGCTCATATTTCAACTCACAATCAATGGAATACATCAATTGATCAACATCACTGGCATCCATATGATGAAATCATGTAGGAAGGTGACACAAGAAAGTCCATACAGGATGACCACAAAAGGTGTAAATACCTAAGCAATCAATCAAACTGAAAAGCAACATCCAAGCCAAAATCCTCCAAGGTGATTCATGGAAAACCTTCTAGATCACTATAGAGAAGATAAACTCCTAGGAAATCCATGTTGAACACGAAGAACAAAACCTAGAACCTCTCTCAAATGCAAAGGTATAGACAATGATATCATGATACAATTCATGAATCAAAATGGTTCATAGGATCTCGTACTAATGATGCATGGAAGGAAAAGAGGGAGGGTAGAAAGTGCCAGGAGATAATGTTTAGAGCCACAGAGAGATCACAAACTGGGAGCAGAAGCATGACCCGAATTTTAGGTTTCATGTCACTAACGTGGATCATGATGTGCATCTTGCATGATAACATGGTGGCGGCAGAACTGAAGGTGGAAGATAACTCCATTCAAATTAAAGACAATTCTAGAGCATTCAATTAAATATGTATATCACATCCCAATAACTATGTTACAGCAAGCTTCACCCTATGAGTGGCAAAACTGGACTTGGCTTGAAGCCAACACGTCCACATGTATGAAAATTTCATGTCCTTCAAATTTTTGAAGTTCCATATCAGAAACAGTGTACCAATTTCATATATGGAAACCCATGGCCATGATTTTATAATAAACGATTGATCTTGAAGCAAGTCTACAAAAACATGAAGCTTAAAATGGCCTGGAAATGTCTTATAACTAGGTTGAGGCATAATGCTACAATCTCATGCTAACCACACAAGGCCAACACCAACTTCTCAATGCCTATCCTCTTTGAAGTACCACCACGCCCAAGAAACAACCCAAATTCCAATTAGTTCTTTGATTCTCCTATAAGAAATCCCATAGATCTCCAAAATCAAAATCATGTAATAATGACACAAGGTCTGGCCATCCCAAGATTATCCCTTAAATCAACAAATTGATAGTATGCCTGGCATACAAGTCTCAAGAATTTCAACTAAAGAAAATCAGCTCTTAGTCTATTGCTTCTATGACGCACCCCTGCATTTTCACCCACTTGGTGTACTTTTGCTAAGAGTTTGAAATTACCTCTTACTATGTCAAGCATATGACCGTGGAGCAATTCAAAGGAAGTAGTTTACAGCTCAAAAAGCACACAATAAAAAGAAGGACAAAACAAGTTCTTAATCCAAAAGATAAAAGTAAGTGTTCAATCTAACACCCATATCAGTTGAAACAAAGGTACATAGCACCAATAAGCATAGTGTGACGCTAAGTGTAACAAAAATGAGAGTAATATGCAAGGATGTGAAAAAACATTGGGCAAAACATACAGGGGGGTTGCAACAACACCTCAATTATATGAGCTATGAAAGGACAATCCTTTGTGAGTACTATATAATCCTCCTTTCTCTATGTCAAAATGAAATTTTCACTAAAGGCAGGAGGCAAGATACAAGTAAAAAACGTCTAACATTCATAAATAACTGAGAGAAATTATTTCATATGAAACTGGAGTATGAATTATTTAGCACACAGAGAAACGAAACCAAAATCTAAATGTAACCTAAAATTCATTAAATGCGATTTGTATTAAGAGACAAAACAGCAAAAAGATCATGGCTCAATGGTTAATACCCAATAATCCAATTTGCATAAGCCAAAAAAAAATTACAGAGACAACAATGGAAGGATACACTAAGTAAAACCCATGCAGGAAACCCCCTGCCAATACCGCAGTGAATAATCGATCCCTTAACACAGGATTCCTCCGAAAACCAATCCTGACTGTACAGAATGCACAAATGAGAGAGAGAGAGAGAGAGAGAGAGAGAGAGAGAGAGAGAGAGAGTAACTACACTACGAGAGGAAGGAAGGAACGGAGACAAGTAAGTAGGACGGTAACGAAGTAACGTAACGGTAACGGGTTCCGTTCGTTTCTTCCTTCCTT